AACCGCTCTCCAGCTACTTGGTAGGGGAACAGCGCGCCGAACCATGGCATGTTACCATGAAGTCAGAGAATATCCCCGTGGAAACCACCTGCAAGGGATGGAAGCCAAATAAAACGTAGTGTTTTCAAGTTGTCAGCAGAGGAGCAGAATCTTCGAATCGGACAGAAATGCAGTCAACCTTCAGCCTCTTCCATGCGGGCGTCCGATAGACTCTGTAAGAGTAGCTTCTCTTCTTTATGTTTTTTTTCACATCTTCTTCTCTCTGAAGAATACAGCATATAATACACATATAAAGAAGAAGGAAACTTCGAGAAGTTTGTGGAATAATAAAAGTAGTCTATTTGATGCGAGTTTCTTTATAATACACCTTTTCCGTGAGCTCGTGGTGCTCCTTATATGTGTTGATTGATGGTTACTGTAAGGCTTCCGGGGAGCACTAAGCAATTAGCAAGGTGTGGGCAGAGCTGAAAGTTACCTGTGGGTCTTCATCTGTGTAGGAGCTCAGCTCCCCTAACCCCATGCTGCTCATGGTCTTCTGTCATTTTCTGTCTGGGATTCTGTACCTGCGTAAACCGTCAGATAATGAAGTCTGAGGCACAGGAGCAAACCGTGGGTCTGGCTTGAGGGACAGCAGGGAAGGCAGTGCCAGGGTGACTGGTGTTAGCACAGACCAGCCAGATGAGACAGAAGCGAGGTCTCCTGGGTGAAGAGACTGGGAGAGTGTGGGGAATCTGGATCCAGTGCTTGACATAGTAGAGCATTTGGAAAAGATTTTGAAGAAAGAAGGCGTTTAGAAAGACGCTTCCTACAGTGGGAGACGCTAGGAAAAATAAAGGACTGTGCAAGGAGGGTCGTTTCTCAACTGAGCTGCTCACTTCTGCAGTGCTCCGCGTTGTACGTTTAAGTATGTCATTACGGCAGAGAGGAGGTGTGGGTGTTGATCAGAGAGAATCCGCATTTCTTACAGTATGACATTCATAGGTAGGGCTGGCTCTGTGGCGTGGTGGTTAAGGCACCCAGATTGTTCGTGGACGACTGTGTAGTTTGAGTGCTGGACTTGGTGGCTTGAGAGGTAGGTTATGTGCGTGTGTGTGCTTGCCCGAAATCTTGAAAGGAGGGAAAGAAAGGTTCTCCTCTCTGGCGAGTCCATGTGCCCATTGGCCCCAAAATTGTTTTTTTTTTCTTTCATAAATCAGTAAACTATAGGTTTAAGAAATGGCAGTAACTATCACAAACAGTAGTTAAAAGACAGTTCAGAGGCTATGCGAGAGAACGCGGCGCCGCAGGCTCTCTGTCAGGAATCCAAGTTAGTTGTTAATGATGTGTGTCTATTGCTTTGATGAGTCCCAAATCCAGCCGTTCAGGAGCACACTGGGACAAAGAAATACTTTAGACATTTTCATTGTATGCACTATTTTTCACACCGAACACATGTACCTAAATAACACTAATGGAGTCCTCAAAATGTTGTGGTTAAGATGGTAAGTTCTGGAGTCAGTCTTGACTTCTGCTAGATCTTCAGGGGAGTTTAACTAACTTCTCTGAACTCGCAGCTTATGACCGATAAAACGGACTAATAGATGTGCTTCATTGGGTTATTGTCAGGGTGGGGTGAAACGGTGCATGCAGAGCTTGTCCCTGCACCTGCTAAAGAACTCTCTGTAACTGTGACGTCATAATCATAATAGATGCTATTACTTTTTTTTAAGGGAGATTTTTTTCTATAGGGCATGTGTGTTTGCTGGAGAGACAAGAGACAGAAAGCAAGACATCACCCCCCGGGGTAATGGCCCTGCTGCAGTCCCTTCTCTTCCATTCTCCTGGGATTTTGGGCACTCAAGCAGAAGTGCCTGGTGTCTTTCAAGCCCTTGGGTCTGGGGCTCGAACCATGGTTAGCCACGTGGCAGTCTAGCGATGGAACTGTTCTGTCATCTTCTGGTCCCAAAAGCTATTGATTTTTGCAATTGAATGAATTTACTAAAATGCGGGTTGAAGAATTAATACTATAGTTATTTTTATATAAGGTTTGAATTACTTAAGTTAATCATGTTCTTTCTTTAAAACATCATGAAAATTTATTGTTCATAAAATTTTTATATCATTATATTGAACAATGGATAATGGGGACCAGCAGATGACCTAATGGCTATGTTGCTGGACTCCCATGTAGTCGACCGCAGTTCGAGTCCTGGACCCAGTGGCTTCAACTCATGCCAGGTGCGTGTGCGTGCGTGGCACTCGTGCGTGCCCAAGATCCCGAGAGGAGAATGGAGGAGAAGGGTTTGCGGAGTGACCATCCTCCCTGGGGAGTGATTTCTCGCTTTCTGTCTCTCTGTCCCTCTCTGTCTTTCTAGCAAGCGCACGTGCCCTATAGCAAAATCCTCTCAGAAAAAAAATGAATAGTGATGGCTGCATGACAAGAACACACACTGGAGGTAGTACAGCCTCGGGCTGTGTCCTCACTCAACTATTCTCGACTCATAAATCTGGAGATACCAATTTGAAGAATTTTTCTTTCTTTTTTATAATCAGCTTTGTTGGTGTATAATTTACATACAGTAAAACTCGTGCCTTTTCTGTTTATAATCTGATAGTTTGGGCAGAAGTACACAGTCCTGTACCTATTCTGATGCCCTGATAGTAGAGCATTTCCATTTCGGAGTGGATGTCCACGGCTCAGCCCCTTCCTCTGGAGCCCCAGGGCAGCTGTAAACACAGGAGCCGGCATGAGGAGCGCCTGGCGCACAGCAGATGTGGTGGCAGTGTGCCCGCCATGCTCACCAGTCTTTCTTCTCTTTGTTTTCTAGCTTCTGAAAGTTCTGCTGAAGACAGTGAGCAGGAGGATGGGAGAGCAGCTCAGGGCCTGGATGGCAACGACAGCGCGGACACTGAGCTCGGGCCTCTGACTCACACCAGAAACGACCTTATTTCAGAGGAGGAGCAGAACACCTCGTCTTTGCTAGAAGGAAACCAAGGCCTTGCAGATTTGGCAGTAGCCAAGGCAGTGTCAAAATCTGCAGAGAGACTAAGGGAAGACCACGAAGGGCTGTCCGAAGATACCGATTACGGAGAGGATGAGGTCACCGGAAAGAGGAAGGCTGTCAAGAAAGACACAGCCGACAAGGCCTCGAAGCCGCAGCTGAAGCGTGGGAAGAGGGGGTATTACAGCTCAGAGGAGTGTTTGAAAACTGGGTCACCCGGCAGAAAGGAAGAGAAGGTCAAGAGCAAAGGGTCACTTTGCACAGAAAACAGTAGCAACAGTTCCTCAGATGAAGAAGAGGAAGAAAAGTCAAAAGCAAAGACAACACCCACCAAGAAGTACAATGGTTTGGAGGAAAAAAGAAAGTCACTACGGACAACTGGTTTCTACTCCGGATTTTCGGAAGTGGCAGAGAAAAGGATAAAACTCTTAAATAACACTGATGAAAGACTTCAGAACAGCAGGGCGAAAGAGCGGAAGGATGTCTGGTCCAGCATTCAGGGCCAGTGGCCCAAAAAAACGCTCAAGGAGCTGTTTTCAGACTCAGACACAGAGGCTGCTGCCTCCCCGCCCCACCCTGCCCCAGAGGAAGGGGCCGAAGAGCCGCTGCAGACCGTGGAGGAGGAGAGCTGCTCGCCGGCCAACGAACCGGGGAAGGCCCTGACGGTGGGGGCCGGTGGGGGGGCCACGGCCCAA